GATGTATCTTCTGGAGCCTCTTGTTCGTGGACGATGTTCACAGTCGTGCAGACTGAGAGTTATCGCTGCCACTCATGGGCCTGTGCATCTCCTTCAAGTGCGCATCGCCTACTTCGGCTGCTTTACCTAGTGCATCAGCTGTGCTCCGCGTTTACTTATTGGGTTAGCAAACAGACCACTGCCAAGGGCTCATCGATGCGTCGTTCACCGAGAGATAACAATGTCTACCCGCTCGGCGGTACTGTATCAGCGGCCCACAATGTGGTTGTCGCCGTTCTTCATCGACCGGGGGGGTGTTTTGCACAATGTGGTTGTCGCCGTTCTTCATCGACCGGGCGGGTGTTTAGCCGCCACAGTCCCTACAGTCCGAAGCTTCAATTTAGGTCTCCTTGTTGTCAGCTGGAAGGCGTGCCAGTCGGGACAGATGAAGGCATGATACGACTCGGGCACGTAGTGGTCGGGAAACCAACGGGGCAGACCTCTTGGGACCGTACAATGTGATTTATGGAAAGGGCCTTGGACACCATCTCCCGCAGTCAATTCTCAAATGCGTCACCTGCGGTCTGACTTGCCATATGCTGAGATATTGGTGCCCGCATTTGCTTATGCTGAGGATGTACCATCCGTGGCTGGTTTGAACCACCTCAAGCTATCCTGTACTTCAATTTTATCCTTCGACATGCACCGGTGGCAAAGGCACTTTCTCGAGTCAACACTTGCCATGTGAAACTTGTGGAACTGGCTCTGCTGGACGGGAATCGTACCGGTCACGGATAAGCAAAACTCTCCATGGCAAGGCCAGTAGTACTCGAGGCCAAATAATTTTCAGCCAGATCTGAATATATGTCCAAACGACGATGTCGTCTACCTGTATACAATAAGCCATTCGCAACGATGTCTACCTGTATACGATAAGCCATTAGGAAGGGCCTCCTACATCTGTGGCCGATATGGGCGCAATCGATTCCAACAGTACCATCCGTGGTATGCCGCGATAGTATCAGTCTCAAGCCAAACGGATGTCACGTTTACGAGGGCATAGAAGCAGCCGTGGCAAACGGCACGAGCCGGAAATAAGGATAGGCAAGGCAAAACCGAGATGGACAGTACCTCGCGAGATTAGAAACAAGTGTGTCCGACTGGGCTGGACTTCGAAGGACATTAGTGGAGAGCATCGAAGTGTGTTTGGAGTCTTTGATGGAGCGGGTCGCTTCTGTCGCCGAGTTGGCGTGGAATCACCCTCCTCCGAATCAATAGAACACAAAGCTATTAAATATTATGAGAGGTTTAGCGGATTGTCACCTATTGAAGTTGGGAGTAAAGCGTTGCAGCTTTTGATGGCAAAGAAGTAAATTGTTGCACCTTTTGATGGCAAAGTATGGAGCGACCTCGGGGCCCGTGGAGATATAGGCCTAAACTATATTCGCCACGTTGCAAAGGATACCATTATAGTGATGGCTGTCACGTTATGAAACTCATTGTTAACTAATCTTGCTCATAAAATTCATTATTCTTTTCTGTCTTCCAGAAGGATTCATGTCATTTATCTTAAGTTAAGAAGACTTCCCAGCCTCTCAAACTCCTGATGTCAATGATTTTATGACATCCAGCAATTACGCCAAGTCTGCTTGTTCAATCAACAGAGGCAGCCTTATCCGAACAGCTGTTTCGCTGCTCCTTCGCAGCTGTCATTGCAAGCTGTTGGTACGAAACTCCGTAAAATTTACAAGCTGAGGTACATCGCCCAATGTACTGTGGGGCTTGTTTCCTGTCGTCCCTACTTGGCTTGTGTCTTTCTGAGGTTTGCAACAGTGACATCTATAGGCTGCTGCTTCACTCTGGGCTGCAGCTTACTTGGTCTCAGGCGATGTATGAGTTGTCCCAATCATGTCGCAACGACTTTCCGTCGTGAAGACTTCGAAATCGCCATCACTTGCGCGTTGCTACTTGAATATGACGTGGCAACCCTCCTACTTGACAAGTCCTGGGATAGTGATGGAGACCCATATGGAAGAGCGACCGGGGACCTTAATACCTAGACCACTGGTCGCAAGCATGACATTGTGGTGTTAGCATCCTTATCTCATATGGGCAAAGCCAAGGCTGCAGCTGCAGTGGCTAGTATGCGATCGAGTTACATGTGATCCTATCCTGGACTTGTAGTGGTATGCCTTTTCATTGCCGCGATGGGTTTTTTTTTGAGACATTTTCTAGGGAAGGTGTTAACAACGGCTTCAACTGCACCTCGAGAA